TCAGGCTTGGCACGCAACCGCACCCACTATATCAGCAAGGAGACCTTCCTACCAGCCTTTAAGGCTGCTTTTGAGCAGTCTATTACAAAGGAGAATATCCAAGCTGGCTTTAGAGGCGCTGGTCTAGTCCCACATGACCCACAGGCTGTGCTATCTAAGCTTGATGTAGTGGTGCAGACGCCAGTACAATCACCACGACGGACAGCCGCCTGGCAGGCGCAGACACCACGCAACGCGCGCGAGGTTGAGGCTCAAAGTACTCTTATTCGACAGAGAGTAAGAAACCGCCCTGGGTCTTCTGCAAATTCTCTTGACGAGAAGGTTGTACAGCTGAGTAAAGGGGCTCAGCAAATAGCACATGAGATGACGCTTATGAGGGAGGAAGTAGCTGCTCTTCGAGAGGCTCTAGACACAGCAAATAAGCGTAAGAGCCGCAAGCGGCGATACGTACGGACAGAAAAGACTCTTACTATAGGCGAAGTACAAGAAGTATTAGCTGAACAGGCGGGTAGCAGTCGTGGTGATGGTGAGAGTGCGTCGAAGAGGGTGCGAGGAGAGCGGCGGTGCGGGCGTTGCAAGCAGACTGGACACAACGCTCGTACCTGCGCAGTTGAGATAGATAGTGTAAGTGATAGTAGCGATTCTGACAATTAATTTGGTATATTGCAATAGTTTATTGACTGTAATAAAAGACTGTGATAACGTGTCAACGTCAACGCGCTGGTGGGGAGTGACCGACTCGCTTGGGTGACCGACTCGCTTATGAACCACGTTACCTATAGTTGGGCCTCGAAAATAATCCAAAATGCGGCACGCGAGCCTCGTCTGCCAAGTAACATGTATTTCTTTGTGCGTGGCAACAAGTAGGCGAGTCGTACAGACCGCGGCAGCTAGGGTCTTGAGTCGTGACCAGCAAGACAGCGGCATAGCTATCGGTAAGCGAGGCTAACTACTGGGATGAACGCAGAAGGTATTGGAACACATGTCTAGAATTTAGAATCAGCAGGCGAATGTAACGTCCTGGGACATGGAAAATATCACTTTTGCAATGCTAGTACAGGAGAGTGAGGCGTGAAGAGGAGTAGAGGTGAGTATAGTGTACGAGTCAAGGATAGCCCCGCTACTGGGATATCCTGGAAGCTCAAAGTGGGCGATGGCCAAAAGATATGCGTGAACCGAAGCACACAGTAATCATGCCATGTGTCAAGGACACAGTTAAATGTCTCCAGTGCGGGAAGCGACTCGTGGGCCTGCCATGTGGAGCACCTTGGTTTCTTAGTCGTGGGAGCTGATTCATGATTTGTATGGCGGCCTGAGGAACAGGCGCTGCTGTGGTGGGCGATGGGATGCTTGTTACAGTTACTGTATCAGACTGGGTATTCTTGGTGCCTTCGAGTGCATGTCGCCGTCCACGTGGAGGTAAAACGCAGATTGGTTCCCTGTTCATCTGGATCTCAAATCTACCGACAGGTATACTGAATCGTAGTGCACCTCGTATAGCAACCTGCGTAACCGACTCAGTATATTGAAGCGAAACCTTCATCTTGATGATATTTCAGACCTCTTGTAGTGGGGCTGAGCCGGCTGGATTATTGTTTTTGTATTGCGTATCCTAATCTTTACCCAATGCAATGACTCTAGCTACATTGCGTGGCAGAGCAGATCATGAGTAATTTGCAAAAAGGAAAGAAGACAAGAAAAAGGGATAGCGCCCAACGTTCACGAAAGTGTGTGGAGTCGACATTCCCATTCCAATGGTGCTCGCATGACGGCCCGGAATTGACAGTCGTTGCTTGTTCCCAAAAGCAGACGGGGGCGCATGGCCTAGCTCCAAAAAAAATAAAGCATGCATGCAGCCATTGCGAAAAGAAGAAGGCCATGTGTCGTTTTGGGAAGGGGGCGTTGATTGCTTTTGTCGCGTCCACCTACCTTGTCACGTTATCGCAGGCAGGCTACTTTTCCTAGCGCTCAGCTAAAGGAAAAGTCAACACCATAGCCGTCACCCCCACTGTAGATCAGACTTAGCACCCACTCCCATGTCGTGCTCTCGGGCTCTCCAGTCTGTAATAACTGACCAGGGTGGTAATAGCAGCCATCAACATGCTCTTGATAACTTACTCCTTCCAGCAGGTGCCGTCCGTCAAAAGGAAGATTGTGAGACGAGCCTCATACATGTAGAGAGTGATCTGATACCAGCGAACACGTGGGTAAGGGCATTGAGCCCCATCTACTTTACCGCTTCAAGATCATCGGTGTGGAGGATTTTGATTGATTTTCCGCGAATGGGGTGAAACGGAAAGAGCATGTCTGTTTTGGGCAGAATTGGGAATGGTGAAACATGGGCCTGGTACGTGGGCGAGATTGGACACGGGGAAAAGTCGTCATGCGCTGTACATACGGCCCTTTGATATCTAGACAGCCGAAGAATTGATTGCTAGACCGGCAGGGCTGAGGATATGAATAGAATCGGGCCACACGTCTCTCGAGGGAAGGCAGGTCTGGAGACGTGTAAGACTGCCAAGCAAAAGTTAAGAGACTGAATACATAGTATGGAACTGGAAAAGGAACATGCAGTTTCAACATACGTACAAACACTGCAATCACATGCACATGCATCCTTATGCAGGTACCGTTGGTATTGCACGCGCCAAAATCAATATTGCTGTGCCTTGAGCGGAAGGATTTCGTCATGTCATGCACTCGTTGTGCTGAGCTGAGCTGATGGCCGAGATGAGTGCGGGTCCTATTAGTCGGCCGATTCGTGGTGCTGCCAACCCTCTGTTAACACGTGGACGCGTAATGGGGATAGTGAGGCCCTGGTGACTACGCCGCAGCTACGACACGTGGTGGCGGTATTGAGTCTGTCATACTGTGAAAGCATCCCATTTTCGCTGACACCTTATTCGTAACATTGGAGGATTGCGCCACTCGGGACTGTACATGTACTGTGATGGCCTCTCCTTTTCTTTTCTTTTCTTTTGGCTCAAGGTGGGCCACGATAGATGAGAGCTCTCCAAGGCACCGCTTCGCATGGACGTTTGGGTCGGTGGCCACGTGAAGCGGAGAATATGTATCAATCATGGGTAGCAGGACCGATCTGGACGCGCGCCTAACAAGCGAAGATCGACACTTGCGCCATTGCCTCGTCTGCAACGGATTGGGGCGGCATGCCGAGGCCGGCAGACGTGACAGGACGCATGAGAAGGCAATGCGATACGAGAAGAGGTGTCGTGGTTGTGGTAGAGGGGCGAGGGTAGTGTCGCGTGCTAGGACAATAATCTGGATACGCCGCGGCAGCGAAATGGCTTCGGCGTGGACCCTGCAGCTGCTACTAGTAGCGTCTCACCCAGGCCAGTGACGCATTGGGAGAATCGTCCCCCTTGGTCGTCGAAATGCTTCTTAGCTCCGTGGCCATGGGAATTGCTGTGCTCTTCCAAGACCTGACCAGACAGCTATACATAGATAGCTTCCGCCGATTGCCGTTCTGGTCCAGGAACGTTTTTGCTATTAGTCGCCAACCCGAAACAGGCGTCCGTAAGCACAATGGCAACCGCCCGTGTCGTCGCAGTTGGCCAGCGCTGCAACGACCTGCGAGCGGCTTACGGACCAGGTACGCTGCATGAAAAAGCGAGATGCAGCCTGTGCCGCAGGGCATCGCGCCCGCCCTCCTGAGCACGATATCAGACTGTGCCGCCCTTGTTGTTGCTGCGCCGCGGGCTCGCATTCACAATCGTTCACATGACGTTCCGTGGGCCTGTGCTGCTCGCACCAGTGCTGGTGCCCAAGCCTCGGTAATGTTGCACTCTGCGCTGGTGCTGGTGCTGGTGCTGCTCGAATCCGACTATGGCCCGCGCATTGAAAAGATCCACTCTGGGTACCGCGCCCTCGGATCGTTGTCGGCCTTGTACGCGAAAGGTGGCACGGCTATGCACATGCGCGCATGGGTATGCCAACATACATATACATGCCATAGATGTTCCATTCTCCGTCCACCCGCGCGACGGCTGTAGAGCATCTAGTCGTCGACACGGCGCCGCCTGCCTGCCCGCCCGCCCAGTTTCAGACGGAACAACTAGCATCAGGGGCAAACGTAATCGCTAAACGCAGAATCTTGGTGTGCTTAGGGCGGGGGATATCGTTGGCACCATTTGTGCATTCCGCCCGGCAGCACACTCGGCCATTTGTGTGCCGGGAGCTAACGCGTCTCCGCGCCTGGTAACCTCTATAGCAGCCGGGCTACAGCTCTCTAGCTCCGGCCAAGGGCGAGCCCGACTGGCTAGTTGGCAACGGCTTCGACAAAGTCAATGCGAGCGCTGGGCAGCTTGTTGGATGAAAGTTTTGCAAATACAAATCCTGGCTTTAGCCTTGCAAACGATGACGGGGACTTTGGCACTGCCAGCGTGCTATGTCGTCCATGCCGAGCAGATCAAGGCTGATGACTAACAGAAAGGGGCGGCTGTACTAGACTCAGCCCCGGCTGGGCGGAGGGGATCAGCGCACTGCAACGACGATCTCTGCCCACCTGAAACCTGGGCCTTTACGTGACGCACGACCATTGCATGGCTTGCCAGTGACCACCCAGCCTGTGTCATATGTCAAGACTGTCGGCGTACCATGATGACCACCAGTGACGCTATAGCGCTAGGTTTGAGGGCTTGGTGGTTGACGTCGTTGTCTTGTTGTCGTCTGCCGTCCGCATGTTGAGAAGCTCTGGCGACCACGCGGCTGCGTCAGGGCACCACCCATCGAACATGATCCATGACGCTCCCGTCGAATGCAATGTTTGAAGGTATTTTTTGTTAAACATTTCTCTGTGGCGCAATTGCGCTGAAACTGACGTCGACTGTCAAAGTACATGGCTAGGCATCCTGTCAGCCATCGGTTACTGATACACTCTGTTGAGCAAATGGCCTCTTTTTGGGTGAAGGAACCATCATCGATGCACTCTTTACGAATGCGGTGGCTAGAAGCCGAAGGAAGCTGCAGCGTAGCAGGAATAGTACGCGGATCACTTGTGATCTGCAGTGTTAATCCCAGTTGCTGGACAAGAAAAACGACCTATATGGCGGGAAGACAAGTCTCGGTCCGTGAAAAGCCACCTTTGGGAGTGCGAGATGCACTAGGGCATTGGGCATGAATGTCCATGGACGGAGGCAAGTCCGTTGAACTCAGGGTTTTGCTCAGTAGTCAACGCCAAGAGCATGGCGTCGTGATGGCGGCGCGGAAATTGGCAAAGGAGTTTTCGCCAGGCAGTCGTCCAAGTCCTGCCCATGGGCAGACGCCCTACAGTTGGTGTGTTTCGAGCGGCGGGCTATCCCGTAGCGCGTCTTCAAGTCTAGTCTCCGATATGCGATTTTGTGAGCTTCGGCGGACCAAGGCGACAGTTTGCAGCAGCTTCTAGTATCGCACTGTAGGCGCGGCGTCGAGGGTTAGTCCACCTCTCCGCGTGGTGGGGACCGGATTCAACAGTCCAGTGGGGCGGGGCTTTGGCATCGAGGTGTCCGAAAGTTTATTTGTTGGGCGAGGGCTTGCTACAACACGAGCAGAGGCAAGAGGTGCAGCAGCGTCATTGTCCACACTGCGCCGGGAATACTGTGGGCTTGCAGAACCATGGGCAAGAGTTCATGGCGACACAGGCCCGATGCGATGGCAAGCTGCCGGACTCGAGTGATTTTTAGGAAGGTGCAGAGGCATGGTGTGGGATGCTTTTCGTCGCGTATGTAGCTATGTGATGACATAATCCGAAGGAGTCGTATCCATGCATGCGTGGGAGGCGAGGCTAGAATGCTGTCAAGTCGCCGTGCTCAACTGCAGCGCGTCCACCTTGGTCACATTGCGAGGACCCATTGATGCTAGCGGGGGGAAGCAAGGTGGGCCGCTGGACTCATGGCACGGGAGCCCGGGATCCGGAGCGCCTCCATGGAGACTACTACTATGGTGCCGTATCGAGCATGACGTCTGCCAACCGACGCAGGCCATTGTCGGAGGGCGCATGGCGAAGTGGTTTCCGAGGCGTCGAGTGCTGTAGCCATGGCGGCGACGGCGACGGCGACGGCGACGAGAGGGCAGGCAAAGGCGTCGTCGCATAGGTTGTTTTGCGGCGCCCTCGGACCGTCCGGGGGAAGGCGAACAGAGAGGGCTGCAGTGGTGCAACCATATAACCATGTGGTCGAGATATGGGATGCATGGGCAGGGCGAGCTGGGCAGCCGGGTGGGGGCAACGGCCGTGGCAACCGGGGAGCTTGAGCCGCCGGAAATTGCCCTCTGCGGTATAGAGGGGGCGCGCTCCAGCCGTGCGATGATCGTTGCTGTATGCAGGTCCTTGGAGGGCGCGACGGGGGGGGAGACGATTCCCAGTGCCAGCGGGTGGGTCGTCGAGTCGTCGAGTCGTCGGGTGGTGGTGGGCAAGCCTCATGTGCTGCGTGCTGGGTGTGTGTGTGTGTGTGTGTGTGTGTGTGTGGTGCGGGCAGTGGGCGTGTCGATGCTGCAGGCCTGATGGCTGGTCGCGTCTGCACAAGGGCCCCGTCCACACTAGGCATAGGCGGGGGGCTTCATGCAAGCGGCCGCACCTGCACCTGCACCTGCTTGTGCTTGGTGATGGTGGTGCTGGTACTGGAGGGCCGTCGCTGTGTGTCTTTCTGGGCGTGGCACGTCACGGCACAGCATAGCACCGCACCGCCGCACCGCACCGCACCGCCTGGCGGAGATTTGGCGTGCTCCGTGACGGCCACCAGCACTGCTAGCGGGCGCGAGGCGAGGCGAGGTGCTGGCGGCGGGCCATGTACGTCGTGGTGCCAAACACGTCGTGCGTGTCATTGGCCGTGATGGTGGTAGTAGTCGTAGGAGTAGTAGGAGTAGTCGTAGGAGTAGTCGTGTGAGCAGTCGCGATGATGGTGATGATGATGGTGGTGGTGGTGGTGGTGATGGTGGTGATGGTGATGGTGGTGATGGTGGTGGTCAAGTCTTGGTCGTCTTGGTGCGGGCGGCGGCAGGTCGGCTGGGTGAATGAATGCACACAGCACATGGTACATACAGCCATAGTCGAGTCCAATCTAAACCCCCTCGCCACGTCGTCGTCGTCGTCGACGTCGACAGCCACAGGACCAGGGGCAGAAATGCCGGGGAGAACCCACTGGCTGCTCCCTGGCCCTGCACGGGCGCGCCGTCGAGAATCAGCGCCCGGCCGGCGTGTACAGTAGGGGCGTGTGGGCGTGTGCGTGCGGCGTGCGTGCGTGCGTGCGCGTGTGTGCGTGTGTGCTAAGTACGGGCTGGGGAGCGCGCACCCACGGCCGCCCGCCAACGCTCCCTTGGCCCCGGCTACCTCGACCCCTGCCATCACTGACAGACGGCCCCTGTCGTCTTCACCAAGCTTTGCTCGAGTAGGCTGGCCGAAGCATGTTCCATCGTGATGTGATAATAACACCCGCCCGGCCTGTCCATTGTCGAGGCCTCAATACGACGCTCCTCGGTGCTCGCCAACCGCCATCCGCCAACCGCCATCCGCCTGCCCTCGGCCGCCTCCCGCCCGCACCGCCTCTGTTTTCTTTTCCAGTCGCTCTTTCCTTTGCCTGGCCTGCGCGCCTGCCTCACGAACCGTTGGAAGGAGCCGCCCCAGTCACGCCCCTGCACAACCACCCACACCCACACACGCACCCGCACCCACGCCCACGCCCACGCCCGGCCCTGCGCTGCCATCGCCATTTACAAGACGGGGGCCCTACCACACCCCCCCTCCACTCGCAAGCATCGCTCTCCTCAGACACACCTGCAATATCCCCACGAGAGACAGACCGTGTCTGAGCTTCCTCAGTCTGCTCCGCATCTCCTCAGCCTGCCTGTCCAACTGGCCTGCTCTGGAAACGCCGCCCGTCCCATCTTTCTATCCGCCTATCCAATCCAGTGCCGCGTTTCACGGCAAACACCACGCCCACAGGTCCATTCGCCCACCAATTCCATTCGTTACGCCATCTGTCACGCCCTGCCCTGCCTCTGCACGTCTTCCCATAACAGCGCGCTAGCTCCTGTCACGCCGGGTATGTCAGTCTCCGTTTGCCCCATCTTCTGCTCCACTTGCTGCTTGTAGCATTGTCTGCATTCCCATTTCTACCGCTAGCAGAATAATAATGCGTCAAGGCAGAGTCCCTCATTCGACACAAACACTGCAACACAGCGCTGTCCAGCCAACTCACCCAAAAAGCTCCCGCTGTTCACGCCTCTTGTCTCCTTCTCACATCTAACCCATCAGCCACCCCTGCCTGCCAGATGCTTGGTATCTGTGTATAGGCGGACGTACAGCGCCTAGTTAGCGACTTTTCCCAGGAGCGTCACATTCCACCATCAACATGGCGTCCACCACCCAAGAGCAACAAGACATGGGCCGGAGATCCAGCGCACTGGTAGCGCCATTGAACATCCACAAGTCGCCCACCAGATCACGGTCACGCACGGCTGTGCGTGGCCACAGCCGACAGTCTTCTTCAAGAGGCACTCTCTCCAGCCGTTCGCAATCGCACATGTCGCCTCCACTGACGCCCAAGACGTCGACCGAGGCCATGGCCCAGCAACAGTCGGAGCCCCAACCCGAATTCCACAACTACCTCCGTGCCTTTTATCACTACAACCCGAGCTCCACCGTATTCTCCTCGACCGACGAGTCCTCCATTACCGTGGCCATCAACCAGGGCGATGTTATCCTCGTGCACTCGGTCCATCCAAATGGATGGGCAGATGGCACATTGCTGGCCTCGGGCGCCCGTGGATGGCTTCCTACCAACTACTGCGAACCCTACGACCACCCAATCATTCGAAATCTGCTGACTGCCCTGACATATCTCTGGGATCTTGTCCGCGATGGCGAGAATGGCGATCTGGTCGCCTTCTCAAGGCAGGACTACGTCAAAGGCATGATTGTTGGCGTACGCCTTTTCTTGGTAAGTCGAGCTCATTTAGATGCACCCAAACATAGCCTCTGGCCACCGTACTCACTCTCTTCAGGAAAGGACTGGATGCCTGCAAAAAGACTCACGCCTCGTCGTCGCCCACGTCGGCTTGCGTCGCATGCGAAAAGCTCTCTTGGGTGACCTGTCGACGCTTGTAAAGACTGCCAAATCCTTCCAAGAAGTTTTGCAATCAAACGAAGCGCCAGTCCCAGTATTCGAGCACATGGATGAGCTCGTGTTCAAATCCTTCAAGCTTGTCACCAGGGCTGTGCGCTTTCTGGACATCTGGGCAACAGATGCCGTGTCTCTCTCACTCTTCGAGCTTGGTGACGCAGGCAACCGGCCACTCACCCCGCCTTCTGATGCTGTCGTGGAACCGCTGCCAGCATCAGCGGCATCGACCGACGACACGCTTTCAGCCAGTAACTGCGACTCTCCCGTTACACAAGGAACTTCATCGACGCACGATGACTGGTACACCGGAATCAACCAACCGTCACGGAATCTCAGCCGCCTATCAGTCGCCTTCTCCCTACCCTCCGAAGCGGACTCTGTTCAATCATCAGTCATCCATTGTCAGCCTCCCGTACAGTCGAAGCGCGTCTCGATAACACATCGCCTGTCCCACACGGGCAAATCGTCGAGCGCGTACAAAGGAAGCCTTGCCTCGGAGAAACTGAATGCCGCCCACGACGCTTTTCTCGGCTTTATCGGGTCTTTCATTGGTTTGCACTTGCAATCACGCTCGTCTGACGAGCTAGCCCAGATTACCAAACACTCCGTTGTGGCGTGCCGCCAGCTCCTCACAGTGGTCGAAGACGTTTGGGAAAGGGACTCGCGAAGGTCGAACCCGCTCGAGGAAGCACGGGACACCATGTACGTCCGTCTGACTGAGCTTGTGCAAGCCACCAAAGACATGTTCATCCAGGCAGACGCCGAGGGCGAGGAGGTGATAGCGCCAGATGCCGGCAAGCAGATTGTGGATGCCGCCACAAGCTGTGTGAGGGCCGCTGGTGACTGTGTCTCCAAGGCTCGCGTCGTGATTGAGAGGATAGGAGATTTTGAGTTTGAGACCGAGGCTGCTGCTGGCCTGGGGCTGTCGCCATCGATATTCCAAGAACCTGGACCCATTGAGCAGGCCCCACCAGCCGAAAGATCAGTCTCACCCAGGCCTACCGAGACCGTCATGGAGACCAACAAGCCGCTACCAGCACCGCCCACTGAGGAGTTCGAGAAGCCTCTACCCCCGGTCGTCTCCGAATCGAAGCCACTACCTGATGTGCCGCAACCTTCGCCTGTCGATGACCCCAGGCTCAGCTTGCAGCCCACGCAGCAAGCCTCGATTGTCGAGAGCCCCACTGCTGTGTCGTTCAGATCCTCGCGTGCATCATTGCCTCCTCTCAATGCAGTACCCACTCCGGTGCTAAACCCGCCCACTGTCGCCGAATCTGTCAACAGTCCTGCAAGCACCACCCAGGGAAGCTTTGTGGGCTCCGTCAATGCTGACAGCGTCAGCGTATCTGTGAACGATAGTGCCAGCACCTACCACTGCAGCGCACGAGGCGGATCTGTAAGCGCCGAATCTCACACATCGACCCGCGCCACAACTCCGGACCATTCGCCCACCAAGAAGCAGAGCTGTCAGACCTTGGTTAGCTGCGCTGACAGTTCGTATGAGACGGGCGAGGACATTGCTGCGGGCGAGGAGCATTTGTTCGAGACAACATACGTGCATGAGCTTATCTACAACAAGGACGGCCAGATTTCGGGCGGTTCCCTTCCCGCTCTTGTGGAGCAGCTGACAACCTTTGAGTCTACACCAGACGTTGTCTTTGTGAACGCCTTCTACCTTACCTTCCGCCTCTTCGCCACACCGATCGAACTTGCGCAGTGCCTGATCGACCGGTTCGACTACATTGGCAACAGCCAGGAGGTGGGTGTGCCAGTCCGTCTCCGAGTTTACAACGTCTTCAAGGGCTGGCTGGAGAGCCACTGGTCTAGCGACAGCGATTCGGCTGCCCTCGGTGTTATCTTGGCTTTTGCCACTGGAAAGCTTAGGGCTGCCATGCCTGCTGCCGGCAAACGACTAGCGGAACTGACGTCCAAGGTTACTGAAGTGAGAGCGGGTGCACTTCTTGTTCCCCGCTTGGTTTCATCGATTGGAAACACTTCATACACACTTGCCGACACCAATGTCCCGGCGCCAATCATTAGCAAGAGCCAGCTCAATGCTCTCCGGGCTAGCAAGGAGGGAAAAGCACAGTGCACCATTCTCGACTTTGATCCTATGGAACTCGCCAGGCAGTTCACCATTATTGAATCAAAGCTCTTCTGTGCCATTCAGCCAGAAGAGCTCCTTGCTCTGGAGTGGACCAAGAAGAAGGATTCCAAGGCACACAATGTCAAGGCAATGTCCACCCTGTCGACGGATTTGGCAAACTTGGTTGCCGACACCATCTTGAACCTGGAGGATGCTAAGAAGCGCGCCATTGTCATCAAACAGTGGGTCAAGATTGCAGTAAAGTGCTTGGAGTTGCACAACTACGATTCGCTCATGGCCATCATCTGCTCGCTCAACTCTTCCATGGTCATGCGCCTGAAGCGGACGTGGGAGCTTGTATCGGCAAAGACCAAGGCTCGCCTGGACGAGTTGAAGGCGATTACCGACGTCGGGCGCAACTACGCCGTGCTGCGACAACGCCTTCAGGACCACATTGCCCCGTGCATTCCTTTCGTCGGCATCTACCTCACAGACCTCACCTTCATCGACGTTGGCAACGGTACCACACGACAGCTCCCCGGCGACTCGGGATCTGACAGTGTCTCCGTCATCAACTTCGACAAGCATATGAAGACGGCCAAGATTATCGGCCAACTCCAGTCATTCCAGGTTCCCTACCGACTAGCTGCCATCCCAGAGATGCAGGAGTGGATGGAGGGCCAGATTCAGCGCATGCATGCGAGCGATCAAGCCAACGTTCAAAACTACTACCGCCGATCGCTGCTTCTGGAACCGCGAGAAGCTCAGCACTCGGCAAGAGGCTCGCCGTCCATCGATAACAGTGCTCAAGCCAACTCCCCGGTCGAAGCGCGAACCAACTCCAAGGACAAGTTCGAGTTCCTCAACTTCAACTTCTCAACATCAAACCTCAAGGGTTCATAGACTTGTGCACTGTGCTGCAGTGTATTTGTTCTTGTCAGCCACATTCTCTGGTTCTACCCAGATTCACACACGGCGGGCACTTTGTCATTCACATACGTTAATATTTGTGTTTTATTGCGTTTATTCTTGTCCATGATGTCTTGGACACTTACGACACCAATGCCGGAGTCTCTTTTGTTTGTTCTATACCACTTTAGCGATTTTCCTTTTTTTGGGTGACGTTTGTCTTTTTCGGCGGTAGATGATAGGCATCTGCACAGCATCTGTTATCTTTTGCATAGCCATTTAGGCCTTGGTTCTTGGCGTTAAAAAAAAAAGAGGAAAGAGCCGTCACGGCAAAGGGTGCATTGCCGTGGTGGCAGGAAGTAGAATCTCCAGGTTGATGCGGGAAGAGAAAAGTATTTTCCTATAAGTAGTCCAAGTACTAGTGCGGCATCAGAAGTCGATTAAACTCTGTTGCGAATGGAACAAATTAGCAAACGATTGTCCTGTTTGAAACGTGATTGGCACTGATACTGACATGAACGTACTCGGCCATGGGAGAGTACTCGGCCACGAGCAATGTATGCCTCGGCGGAGTACGTAGTCGGCGAACTGCACTGTCCTTCGGGGATATGGGACCCAGATATCATGTCCGGCAGCATCGCCCGCAGTCCTTGCAGCAGGGAATTCCTTCCCAGAACTCCACTAGCGCTTATGTTGTAGTGCTATGTACAAACAATCAGGCCCATCAAGACGGTTTCCGCGACGCTACCGATAACGGCGATGTGATCGCCGGTGCTCCACCCCCGCCGCTGCCGCCGCCGCCGCCGCCGACTTGAACCACCGAACGCTGTCATAGCAGCGGCAAACATTTGACGAGATATAGTGCCATCACCGCAACAACGAAGATACAAAACGTACATTTAAACACTTGGCCTCCTCTTGGAGAGAAAAAAAACCCCAAATTACAACTCTCACAATACTCCAACTCTGCATCTACACACATCCTAGGTCAGAGATTGTGTGTATCTGTGTGTGTGTCAGAGAGAGAAAGAGAAAGAGTCACATCCCCCGAAAACCAGAAAAAAGAGAGAGAGAGAGAGAGAGAGAGAGAGACCATGTCCCCCCACACCCTCCTAATCGACGTGCGCTCCGCCGCCGAATTCGCCACAGGTCATCTAACCAGCGACATGGGCCCGACGCTGAACATCGAGTACCAAGCCATCGACCAGCTCCCCGCCATCTATGCTGAAAACTACCACGCGCACGTGACCAAGCACCATGACATCACGCTGTACTGTCGCAGCGGGCGGCGCTCGAATATCGCGTTGCAGACGCTGAGGGGCTTGGGCTTCGTTAATGTGAGGGATATTGGTGGGTTTGAGGATGCGAGGAGGGTGCTGGATAGGGAGGTTGTGGGTAAGCAGTTGGAGGAGGGGATGAGGGGGGGTGAGATGGGGAAGGAGGAGGGGGAAAGCGACAAGGTGAAGGAGAAGAGGAGGGAGGGGTTTGGGGCGTTGGTGGAGGGGTTGAAGGCTTTGGAGGGGTGAGGATGGGGGGTTGAAGAGAGGGAGTGTGTGTGTGGTTTTCTTCATCTTCTTCTTTTTGCTGCCATGTTTCTGCTTGGTGAGTGTGGGGTGTAGGGGAGTTGTTTATGTATGGGACGTACAGAATAGGGGTCAAGATGCATTGATGTGTAGCGTGTGTGGCGGATGAATTGTAGATATACAGGTCAGGTGTTTAGAGTCTTGAATGAGTGGATATAGCTGGGCTGCTTTCGCCTGGAGAGTTGGAGCAACTATGACTGTGACTGTTGGGCTGGAATCCGTGATTGCTGTGGCGTAATAGTTGTAATGCTCATGTGCAACGGAAACTCGGTGAGAAATGTGTATTTCATACAAACTATAAGTGATATGGCTACCTCTTGCTTCATCATACTAATCTGATCGTTACTTCTCATGTATCACACTTATCCTTCTTAGACCTCCAATCTATCAATCAAGGTGCAGTTCACCCTCGCAATCAGCATAAGGATAGTACTTCTGCGTCTCGGTCCAAAGCGTTTCTTCGTCCAGCTGGCTTGCATCCAAGCCTGCGATAATGTCCCTGGCACGCGTTAGTCAAATGCCCTCGTACGAAATGTACTACTCACTTATCCTCGGCCAGCACCTCGAAGCCAGGTACGCAATCAATCAGCGCATACATGACGTAGCTTCCGATAAAGGACCACAAGAATCCAACGAGAGCCTCCACAATCTGAACATGTAGCTGTCGTATATTACCATCGAAAAAGACACCTCCAACAATCTCAGTCACCCCGTCATAACCTGCAACTTCTTTTCGAGCAAAGCAGCCTGTCGAAATGGTAGCCAGGATGCCGCCAATATAGTGTGTTGCGAATGTGTCGCCGTGATCTACCCAGCGCCAGCGTCTCGCAAAGTCAGTGAACTTGATTCGAAGTGCCTGTCGGCAGACGAGTGCGCCTAGGATGCCGAAGAAGAAAGCAGTCGGTAGATCGATGAAGCCTGCACTTGGCGTAATCATGATAAGGCCGGAAATGGCGCCCATGAAGCAAGAATCCAGACTCCAGCGCCCGACCTCCATGTACGTGTATAGCATCCACGTCAGCGCTCCGGACGCGGCGCAAAGATTCGTGACGCACAGTGCCATGACTGACTTGAAGTTGAAAGCTAGGGTTGTGCCCGCATCGAAAGCGAGCCACGAGCCCCAGATGCTTATCATAGCTAACAACTGACAGAGCGAGTTGACAGGACGGTGAATGACGAGATGCGATGGTGTTCGCGTTGACGATTTACGTGAGCGAAAAAGAGGGTAGGATAGGTACACGGACATGGCCGTTGCTGTTGCTCCTGAGTTAATGTGTACAGGTGTTCCGCCTGCAAAGTCGAGAACGCCGATATCCATGAGGAAGCCTCCGCCCCAGACCATGTGGGCGAGGGGATTGTAGACAAAGGTTGACCATAGCTGCTGGAATCAGGACACAATGCATTGTTCGAGTAATTAGTCTGCTTACGAAGATGAATGGTATCAAGGGCAGTATCCGGCCTCGCTCACAGGCGCCTCCAACGGCAATCGCGCAGACCGTGGCTTGGAAGACTAGCTGGAAAAAGCTAAAGAGCACGGCTGGTATGGTTCCAACAGGCTCTGCCAGCACTCCTTTATGCAATGCATACTTGAAGTCTCCGAAGATGGCGCCGCCTTCGCCGTACGTCAACGTGTACCCGATCAGGAACCACTGTATCGAGCAGACAATGACAGAAAGAATGGCAGGCATGATTGCCGCGAGTGAGTTGGACCGTGTAGTGTATCCGCTGTACGCAATGCCTACTGCTGGTATGATTCCCCAGCCTTGCTTGTTAGCAAATGGGCCTATCGCCATGAGACGGGAACTTACAGAAGACTGAGCAGACCAACACGAAGAGAGTGTCGGTGCGGTCGCAAGCCTCCCAGGCTTGCAGTACCTCTGTAGGAAGACCCATGGCCGGCTGCTAGACTCCAAGATGACGGTGTCACAAGTGCGATGAGATGATGCTGCGACGTTGGAAGAGTGGGAGACATGGCTTTAAGCAGCGCAGGTACATACCAGCCGCCTTGGCTGAGCGCATCTTGCTGCTGTCCACTCTGCATACGGGAACGGCTCGCATTGAGGCTTTGAATAGGCATCGTGGCTCGTCGGGGCGCACTCAATTGGTTGAGCGCGGATGTTGGTGTAGATCTTGGCTGCGTTGATAAGATAAAAGCAAGCAATCGTCCGGGATCGTGGCGGGGCGCATTAGCCAATCTGGGTACACAGATCCCGATCTCTGGTATACGTAACCGATGGGACTTTTAGGTTGCACGTTGATGCGTCGACAGGTAGGATCCCACTCTCTCCAACGGTCCAACTGACAGCGACAAGCGGATGTGTGTAGGGCTGCAGGGACCTCGAGAACTCTGGGTATCAGACCCGCCACCGTGGGTCCCACCGGCGCACTAATTTGTTTTGAGCCTCCACAAAGATAGCCCACTTCACTCTTTCATCGCTAAACACGACTCTCCAACCAGGTATCCGAGATGCTTGACCTCGACGGTTTTGCTGTGAGCCAGGACCTGGTGCCTCCAGCGCCCATCAAGTCTGCTGGTATTTCCAAGGTTGATTTTGATGGCCTCTTATCACCCCCACTAAGCCTGCACGAGGATCTGAAGAATGGCTGCGGTGGCCAGTTGTGGCCGGCGGGTATGGTGCTGAGCAAGTACATGCTGCGGAGGCATCGCGATGACGTTGCTGGAAAAAAGATAGTTGAACTGGGCGCAGGAGGAGGGCTCGTGGGGCTGGCCGTCGCTTTGGGGTGCAACGTCGATAAAACGCTACATATCACGGACCAAATACCCATGTTTGACCTCATGGAACGCAACATCACCCTAAACGGCCTGGATTCACGTGTAAAAGCATCCATATACGACTGGGGGGAAGCAACGCCGCCGCAGCTGCCCGCCCACCCAGACATCATCCTCGCCGCCGACTGCGTCTACTTTGAACCAGCTTTCCCACTGTTGCAACAAACTCTGAAGGATCTGATTGGCGAAAACACCGTGTGCTATTTCTGCTTCAAGCGGAGAAGGCGGGCCGACCTAACCTTCATGAAGACTGCGCGCAAAATGTTCGACGTGCAAGAGGTCGATGACGACCCAGATAAACAAATTTACTCAAGGGAGAAGCTATTTTTGTGAGTCATTTGAGGTAAATTGCTAGTGCTCCAATTAATCGAGGTAGATATCGTATGACGAAGAAGAAGGTGTAGTAAACTATGGTTGAGCTGTGTGCTAGGCCTGTGAGTGGAAGATGAGGCTGTTCTCAGCCATGGCGTTCTACTGGAATATTCGACATGGGAAATTACCGTCAAGTCCTCTCGTATTATATATCTACGGTTGAAGCTTTATGGCATGCTCCTCCTTCATCCCACAGAAGTTCAGAAGCGATTTTCCCTTCGTACTTTCCACCCCATTGTCCAGCCTATCCCACATTACCATACCACAACCCCCCTTTCCTACTATTGTCCCGGAGAGACGTCTTACCATTCTAACCATGTCTAACCAAGCAAATCGACTGGAATGGAGTGCACGTACTGGGGGTGATCTGGAGTACGTGGCAATGCTTCGAAACTCTGAAATCACTTCAACGATCATACCGCCTACCCAAAGAGAGCAGCTAAGCATCCTTAATCACCTCCCGCGTTGGGATCTCGACAACAAGATTCACACACTGTTCACAAAAGACAAATGGCCACAACTAAGTCCAGAAGGTTACTCTCTACTACTTCCAGCTCTGAGAATCGCATCAAAATTCATGACGGAGCCTTCACTTCTGGGCTGGTGGAGACATACTTTGTTCGGTCATCCGATCTCTGTAGAGGGGAAGCGATATTTAGCACATAGCGAATACGAACATACCGCTGATGCAAACCGTCGACTGCGCGAATTCCTTGAGAAAATACTGCCCCAGGGCTTGCGATTCAAATTCCATAACCTGGACAAAATGGGTTTGGGCATTGATGCCTGCACTTTTGGCACCGAGGCTACGTACCAGCAGTTTCAATGCGGACACGAAGCAGGTTACACATATCCCTTCTATGACAAACCAACCGTTGTGTTGCATATTCAGTTCTGGGTTAGTTTGGTTGTCGTGGAACACAAATTCCCGACTGAGCTCAATACTCTGTACCTCAAGATTGCCATTACGCTTTGCCATGAACTTGCGCATTTGGTCTGGAAGTATCGTATTCAAATGGAATTACCACCCTGGTAAGTTCAAGTTAACGGATGGATCCTTAGTACAAAGCTAACGTACTGCAGGTCCCCCCACAAAGCATTTGCAGAACCGCTGCACACTAAAGATGAGCGGGTCGCTGAGCTGGGACTATCCTGGGAGCTTCATGTTTTCGGCGGCAAACTCTCCACAATAGACTGGCCAGGGACATCCATAACGATCTACCTCTATGGGAGCAACCTAGGCAACTCGCCGTCTCGGCAAATAGCCGTCATCGTTCCCAACTGGTGGATCAACATCTGGTCGTCAACACACACATGGCACAACTTTGCAAAATTCCGTGCCACTGGCCAGCTCCGGCTACCAACCGAAGCCGAGAGTGGGTATGCTTTGCACAACAGGGCACTTGGCAACACGACAGTCTGGTCACTCTACCACGAGGGAAGACCAATACTTCACCACTGTCGCCGCCCAGATCAATCTACCAGGTGCTTCTGGGTTGTTATGAGGCCCTTCATCCAGAAACTCAGCGCGCAATACGAAGCTCGAACCGCCGCGCTCGCCTTGGACTCTGACGAAACCGGTGGAAAGCCTCGTCAACCGCTGTCATGCGCAATGCTCTTTGCATCCAATTTTCACGGCCTCTTCGTTGCGCCAGACTTTGTCGACCACTTATCTCCGGATTCCCTGCGCCAGAAGGTCGCCGGTGCCAATCTATGCAGGTATCCCTGTCCGCAGCTAAGGCTGCAGCAGAATCAACAGAATGCGCCACCAGTGCAGCCCGAAGATGAAATGTTGGATAGTCATGTGCCATAGGAGCAGTCAGGCGAGTCGAGTGATTCAACTTCTGAATTGCTGACGAACTCGACTGGATGAACTTGGACTTTGAGATTCGACTTGGATATGAGCACGGTGGCAGGATTGATGGATTCTTTAATGGTTGATTGATTGGTTGGATGGTTTTTTTGAGGCATTAGCCTATTCATTTCGTCTTTTAATTCTTCATTTCTTCTTCTGATTCTTCATTTCTTCTTTTAATTCTTCATTTCGTCTTTTAATTTTTCATTTCTTCTTCTACCCCTTCATGTCATTCATACTTTGTATTATTCGTGGTAAAAATCCCCAAAAAATCCCAAAAAAATTCCCCTTTAGAGAATCCCTTATACGTACATCTAAGTCTCTTCCATATTGCACCCTAGAGTAGCCCCCTTTACAGAGCACAAACACATATATATATATATATATATTCCAGATATCCAGAGCCCCCTATTGCAGCACCAGATTCTCAACTCCATCACAAAGCACACATAGCCCTGTACTTCTACCACACCCCAGTACCATGTGCGCAGTACCCACCAATTCTCAATTTATATTACGCATCATCATTCCCAACTTAATTTCTCCAATCCAGGCCATGTGACTCATGCTACGAACTCGCCTCACAACACTAAAACTCGTCGAAACCATACAACCATTCAACCATACAATCATAGTTTCCCCTTTCCCCTCTTTTTCTTAACTTCCATCTCCCCACCTACCTATCTACCCAACTCTAACCCTGATATTCGCAGCACCGTGTATGTATGTATGTATGTAATACACCAGCATCCCCTCCAAAAAACAACAACAACAACAACAATCATTTCTCCACGCAAGAAAGCAACTCGCAAAAAAAATCGTGTGCCAGTGGAAATTGCACGTAGCCAAGTCAAGCATATGTAGATTGAGGGATTTTGTAACTCCCCTCCCCCCCCCCGGATTATCAGAGAAATATCCAGACTTTGTACGTTTATTCGATCGTCGTATCGCCTCCTTTTTACCGACAACACTCTTCTCCACATCATCATCATCATCGTCACGAAAGAAAAAAAATTCAATCCAGCTAGCAAAGTTGCCAAACTTTGCCTGTTTTACCTCAACGTAAGACACACCATCATTTATGAGTCTGCAGACTAGCTAAACCAGCACCCGTGTTCAGCAACCTTATTCAACACCTTGCAACACATCTGTTGAAAAAAAAGAAGTGGGGGGTTTTTTTGGTGATATTGCTACATTAATAGACTCGTTGTTTTTGTACTGAAGTTTCCATTATTTCTTTTTTTTCTCTCTCTTCCCGCCATATGTACATACATGCAAAAAGTTTATGGATTTCACAAACGGAACCTCTGCGCCACGACCCCAGACTGTGTTCATTTGGAACAAAACCTCCCCCCAAAAAAGGTAATTCATGCTGGTGATTTGATGGTAATGCGGTTAGTTTTGGTATGTGTGTTGAGTTACTTGTGAAACGTTTTCTTAGGCGAATAATTGCCCTTTTCCCCTTACATTTCATGGAGGGAGAAGGGCGTCGTGGGCTTCGAGAGAAAAGATAGACCTAGTAGTCGTCGCCGCGACTGAGGACTTCCTTGCATGTTGGCCTGAGCACAAAGGTCTATGATATCTTAGCAAATAGTCTTTTGGAAAATTCAGGTGCAAGCAATGGGACTGACGTGTTCACTCTGTGCCGTGTAGCTTCCCTTGATATCGCACAGCGGCGGGTACGCCTCGACGATACCAGCGCTAACCAGATTGTTCAAGCCCAAGAGATACTTGTCGTGACCCAAGCGGTCCAGATATCGCCTACAGAAAGGCAGAGTGCCAAAGTTCTTGGTAATGGAGTTGAGCAGCGTCTTTGCAGACGAGACACGGAGGGCGACTTTGGGAGCATCGGCTCTCTTGGCGTAATGTGAAGTTTCCATCTGCAAATCCATTGTTAGCAAGTGTCACAGAACAAGGCAATAGGAACTGGAGAGGCTTACATCATCTCGAACGTAACCCTTTCCTGTGCTACCAAATGTTTCAATGGCAAAAGTTTCTCCTTCCTCCATCTTTGTCTGGTCGCCTCCCTTGACAATGGGCACCGTCTTACCGCCGTGAATGGTAAAGTGTCCAATAGAGTGTCCGTTCAAGTTCCTTATACACTTGACAGGCAACATCTGGCCCTTGATTTCCACCTCGTAGCTCTCCATAACCTCCTGAATGGCAGCACCAATATCGCTCATGCGGACGTCGATACCAGCCTCCTTGATACCAGCGTTTGTGGCAGCTTTGCACGCGTTGATGAGATTGTCGTATACGGGATCAAAGGTCACTGTAAAGGCGCTGTCGACGATACGGCCATTGATGTGGACACCAAAATCAACCTTCATGACATCCTCGTAGTTGACAACCATCTTGTTGCCCGCATTTGGCGTGTAGTGCGCAGCGCAATGATTTATGCTGAGACCAGTCGGGAAACCCATGCCGGCTATGAGTCCGTCTCCATCCTCGAGACCCTGATGGCCTGTCAGAGCGCGGACAGAGTCTTCAATACCCTCGGCAATTTCCGTCAGTGACATGCCAGGCTTGATGAAGCCCTGTGCCCATTGCCGCACTTGACGGTGAATTTCCGCGCCCTTGCGATATTCAGCGAGGAAGTCGTTGTTCATGCGGTCGAGGTGGCGCTTCTCTTCGCTCGTGGTTCGGTACGTGTTCTCATTGACGTATTCCTGGATTTCACCCTCTGGATACGAGTCGTTGGGGAAGAGCTCGTCGATGCGGACGCGAGGTGGTGACGTTTGCACCTTGGGTCCGCCACCACCACCGGCAGCGCCAGGCTTCTTCTTCTTCCTGGGCTTTCTCTTCTTCTTCTTTTTCGCTGCCCCTTCGCCGGCCTCTGGTGCGCCATCCTCGGCTTCGTTATCGTCGTCCGAGTCTTCGTGATCGGCGTCGCCTACGGGCTTATCACCGTTTGTTGGCTTACTCTGTGAGTCGTCCACTGCACGTCATCAGCCACTGTAACGCCGTACAAACAGCATTCTCGCATATACATACACTTCAGGTTGGCGACATCGTCTGCTACTGCGGCGGCCATGCTGATTGTGCAACAAAGGTGAATGCTTCAAATGTTGCGGGTGGCCGTGAAATTTACGAGCGTCTTGAAACGCCCCGCTGCGTTGCCCGCGGGCCTAGAGTTGAGCACCCCACTAAGCCGTTTGCATGCTAGCGTCGGCAACGGACGATGACGTTCTGTCTACTCTTTGAACATTCACTTATCCCACGCCATTAATGTAAACCCCTCCTGCACGCAGTTCATGGGCAATGCCACCCCGCCCAGCTACTCTCCTGCGACCACTCGCTGCCTTGTCCGCTCCTCGTCTAGCAAACCTCAATGCGCCATATGTCTGCCACGCATGCATCCGACGCACGGCGCCTGCTCCTCCGCGGCGCAACCAACAAGTTTCCTTCTTCCACGCCTCGACCGCACGATGCACCGACGGCCTAGTCAACCACTATGAAACACTGCACTTGACCTCCACTGCCACTGCTTCCGAGATTAAGCGCCAGTTCTACACGCTCTCCAAGAAGAACCACCCAGACCACAACCGCGACGATCCCGACGCTTCCACGCGCTTCGTCGCCATCAGCGAAGCCTACCACGTCCTCTCTGTCCCCGAGAAGCGCGCACAATACGATGCGCAACTAGAATCCTCGCGCCGCCAGTCGCGCTGGGAGCGAAGTGGCAACGACGTTCCCCAAGGGAGCTACAGCTCCGCCGCATTCGGGTCCCGACCCGCGAGCGGCCTGAATAAGAAACGCAGCACCTTCCGAGGGCCCCCACCCTCCTTCTACAAGGCCGGGGGCTATGGCAGCCACGGCGCAAAGAGAGCCGAGTACGCGTATTCCAACCCACACGGTGAAGGCGCAGGTGGCAAGGAGGCGGGTCAGGACAGCTACGGCGAGTATGGCGGCTTTGGCCCCGGCCAGCAGAACCAGGGCAACCGCGTCCTCCACTTCAACGACAAGCAGCATAGAGAGACGCACGAGAACATACACGAGCATATCTGGGCGCGACGGAGACGGTTGCGGCCAACGGTAAAGGTGGAGGAGGAGTGGGAAAAGGGCAACATGCTCGTCAACTTTATCGGCGTCTCGAGCGTCATTGCTCTCATCGGGCTGACGGTCAGCTTTTTTGGCGATCGTCATGACGCGCAGACGAAGCGCAAGGACACTGCTGTTTGATGTGATATACCTAGTATCAACTGTCCCCCATTTTTTCAACCGTATCAATATGAATGCTGTCATGGTGGCTTCCCTCCAGAATCCATGGGTGCCATGACGTCTTGCCGTAGACCCTGACCCTGACCCCGATCGCTTACATGTCATGTCTTGCATGTGCGCCGGCATCTCCCCACAGCCATTAGTCCCTGGCGTGCGGGGAAATCTACATGGCGTGATGTCTCCGTGTTGGATGTATGGAGAGTCCAATTCTGGCAATTTTCTGGAAGCCAGCCAAATCATGCCGATCGTTCCGAGTCGCATCAAGCCCACAAGCAATGAGTAATCCCCCACATCACAGCACCTCATTTCAATGTCTAGAGCAAATATCTTTATAACCTTGCATTGAGACTCAATCTCATACAGGCGCATATCCAAGACTACTCGTGTTCTTTGACACTAGATTGATATGATCCCGCGTTGCGAGAACCAATGGAATCTATAGCTTGTTTGTTTTTTCTCTATTCTGCTATCCACATGCGTCTCTTGATCAGGCGCTTAACCCTCAAAGGTGAAGCTGGTGCCGAGCTTGTGGCCGGCCTCGTTCAGCTTCTGGGTATCGAAAGAGCCGCCAATACCAAAGGTCAGGCCGCTGTTGACCTTGGTGTTGTAGGCCAGGGAAGCAATGCCGAGGTTGTTGATCTTGGCCTGTAAAGGGTTAGCATTGAGGGCTCATGTGCATGTCAGGGACTTCCACTGACCTTGGCGAAAGATGCAGGGTCAAGCTTGTACTTGGCGGCAAGCTCAAGACCAACATTGTTGCCGGACTTTGAGTCCCAGACGGCACGAGCACCAGCCTCGACGGCGGGGTTGACGCGCTGGTAGTACGAGGCAGTGAAAACGCTCAGGGAGTTGGTAGCGGTAACGGCGGCGTTGTAGAGAGGGGTCGTGTATCCGACGGCGGCCGAGTACTTGGTAATGGCAGCCTTCTGCACGTCGTAGCCGACCTCACCACCAACAACCATGCCCTCGTGACTGACCACAGCATCGGCAGTAGTGCCAATGGCGCCAGCAGCCGAGTAGTCGACGAAAGCACGGCCGTGGAAGGCGGGCTGCTTGAAGTGCAGGTTGACCTTCTGGCCCTTGTTGCCAGCAGCGGGGCTGAAGTTAGAGAGAACCTCAGTCTTCAGGCCACTGGCGAAGGTGTCGTTGAGCTCAACCTTGGTAGCCAGAAGGTTGGCAGTGTTCCACGATTGAGTGATGCTGATGCCTGCGCGGTTTGTCGTCAGCCAGCTGATTCCGAAGCCTGTCGCAGACGCGCCGCAATTGCCTGGAGGCTGCGCCACGTGAAACATGTATGAAGCAAAGCCGGAGGATGAATGAAAAGGTATTGTTAAGCTGACAGAACGAGGAGAAAAGGAACGCGATGTTGCCGTACCATTGGGAAGCGACTTCTTGCCCTCGAGCTGCGGACTGTGTTAGCGACTGCGCCATGTGCTATCCGGGCGCAATGGACTGACAGAGGAGGTGACGGGGCCGTCGTGGGCAGAGGTGCCCTTGGCTGTGAAGTTGACGCCGTTGGGGGCCTTGAGCTTGACCTCGAGGGCAGCTGCGGGCGCGTCAGTACGTGTGCGCCCAGGTCCAATTGGTGTTCCTGACCTGCGGCAGTGTGGTAAAAGTCCTTGTTGATAAGCTGGAGGACGTGCGGGTCAGCAATGGCACTATCACGAAGCTGTTCGCGGGGGCGCCATAACATACGTCGTTGGAGGCCTTGGAGATGTCGCTGAAGGCCGGCGGCGGCAGCTTGGGGATGACCTTCTCAACCTTGATGTACTCAGTCATGATGGCGGTTTTCCTGGGATGCAAATGGAGCAATGGAGGGGTGTCTTGGAGGGTTGGTGTTGCTGGCCAGACGCAAAACTTCTTGAGAGGTCACGGCAAGGGTCCGCGCTAGTAATCCCGGGCAGTCTTCGTGCCTGCCCACGGCCTGCCACTTGGTCAGCAACGTGCGCGCATCTGAGTCCTGCGCCTTTCACTATCGCATGTGCCCCTTTTGCTTATTCCGCGCAGATGCTGCGATGCAATGTGACGGGCATTCATCCCGTACCGCTACACCCCATTCAGCGACACTTGACGAGCGGGCGGGCCATTGCTGCTGCGCTCGCGTCGAGAATTGCTTCTTCGCAATACTGCCATGGCGCCTCCTTTCTCGTGCGCGGCATCGCCTTCCCAGCTGACCCCCACCCACACACTTGCCAACACCTGCACAACTGCCCACAAGCATTGGTCCACGCAAGAACAACGCATGCGCAGGCAGTCCCACGGCGGGCGATCCTGACTGGGCGACGACGTTATCCCATGATCAGGCTCATCGCAACCCCTATGACCAGCACCACCATCGAGGCATACACGTAATCGCAAGCGGCACCCCACCACTCATCCTGGAGGATATCAACTGTGACTGTGTGTCGTGGGTGTCATGTTCTATGACGCTGCCGACGCTGATGAAGTGGATTTCAAGGTAAAGACTGGAAGAAGATGGCAGTGGGTACTAAGTAGCCATTATTCTACAAAGGCCGTTTGTGAAGGCCCGGAAACAGTCTCTTGCGAACACGAAAACTCGTTTGAAAAAAAAAGCTTGCTTTAGTGACCGCAGGTGGCATCACTCCCTAACTTGACGCGAAGAAATTCCACTGCGGAAAGGACTAGAGTGAGATCCTGCACTGGTGCAATTCACAATCGCATCCCCTCACGAGAAAAAGTGATACACTATCCCACGCGAGACTAGCTGGAGAATCCTAACACCTTTTCCAATCACGAGCCATGTGCTATATGACCCAAGTACCGCTTTTTCCTAATACATACGACCATAGGTACCAGAATTCTGTGTCTCTCGTTCGTCTAGTAGTACTCTCAAGTTATTCGGTTATTATGATAGAGTATATTAAGATAATATTTAGCTAAGAAGACAATTTATATGTTCCTTTGCTAATACCTTTAATGTGAAGTATTAATAGCATCTATATTTAGCTACTAAGACAATGCTTTACATGCTCTTTTGCTAGTGTTTTTGATGCAAAGTATTGATAGCATCCATTATTAGGACACACTAAGACTGTGTTCTCGTTTGCATTTAGCCCTCTATGCCTTCGAAGATGGTTGAGGCATTTTGTAAAGCTTATCTTTGTTGATAGACTAATAACATCCCCACAGTTCATTCCACATTGAACCTGGATATTGTTGTTGGCCTGGTAACGTTGGATCCACTGGAAGAATGGATTAAGTTGCTCTTGGATCCGCCATTGATTGACTAAGTATTGAGCAACCTCAATTGTTACTGTGTAACTCCCTAGCAATAGTTAGTAATATACTAGATATAAAACATAACTATAAACTGACTTGTTGACCTTGCGTTCTTGATACGGAGCGGGTACGCTAGCTGTCTCCTGACTGCAATAGCATGTTGTGAGTTGTCCTTATGCGATGGGTGCTCAATTAAGTAGACTAGGTCTACGTAATCAGGCCTGAAATGAACTTGGAGTAGTCCACCGTGTATGAACATCTTAAACTTCCCAGTTGTTTGTCTAGCGAAAAGGCCGAGCGAGTTGATGTTCACTAAAGAGGCGGATTCATCGTCGTCCTGGACAACAACAATACCGTTCTTTTGCAATTGTTGGGGGGGTTGAACAGATAGGGGTAGTTGCTTAACCTTCTCTTTAGTGTGCTCAAAGTGTGGGTTTCCCGAATCTAATGAAGTAGAGCTTCGCAGTCGTTTATCATGCACTGTATCAACTCTTTGTTCACTTGCGACATCCGTTATGTTCCGCTTGGAGGGTAGGTTATTGGGGAAGATAGTTCCGCTGACAACTCCTTTACGAGTGTCCTAGGACTGTTATTGAGTGGACTTGGTGGTCTAGCTAGCCTGGCTTGATACTGTATGCAAACTTGAGCTGTGCTTTAAAGCATGAGCTAGAGTTAAAGATTAAGTAGCGCTTATTTTGCTAATAGTCGTAAAAGGAGGCTCTTGGGGGTGCGTAATATCTACGGCTAATAGTCTTAGTGTGATGTAGACTGGAAGAGTTACGGATGGTTGCAACAGCAGTGTTGCATCGTGTCGCGCGCTATCTCTGGCGAATAGCTAGAGAGAAGGAGATGTATTTGTGGTAGGCTTGCTTGGACCGTTGAAGTTGTGTACGATACTTAAAGGCTGTGGAGTCTAAACGCAAGGGCGAAGAATGTCTAGTAGTTAAAGAGGGGATTCTTAAGATTGAAGAACTAAAGCACTGCTTTTCTGTGATAAGACTGTGCATAGGTGTTGAATAGTTGGTCTAGAGGGAGCAGTGCCTCCACTTGCCTCTACGATGCCTCCACGCTCGACCGCCGTGGGTGGTGTAGAAAAAGGGTTGTAGGCAGTGCCTCCATTCTCAGCCGCTGTGTGTGGTGCAGACAACGGGCTAGTGGCAGTGCCTCTGCGCTCGGTCGCCGTGGGTGGTGCAGACAACGGGCTGGTGGCAGTGCCTGCACGCTCGGCTGGCGTGGGTGGTGTAGAAAACGAGGTGGTGGCAGTGCCTCCACGCGCCTCCACGGTGCCTCCACGCTCGGCCGCCGTGGGTGGTGCAGACAACGGGCTGGTGGCAGTACCTCCACGCGCCTCCTCAGTATCTTCATGCCTTATTGTGATCTCTAGACGCGTCTGTGTATTTGTTGTAATGTCTTAAATGCTTCTCTGCTAGCTACCTTTAACTCACTAATAGTAAGGTTAGTTACTTCTCTCTTTTACGTTTGTTGTGTGTGTATAGGCTAGCCTACTATTGTCTAAAGCTAGACGCGTTAATAAGTAAATAGAATTGTGGAGATTTGCTTTTAAGCTTATAGCGTTATTGCTTACTTAAGACAGGGTTCTAATATAAGACTAAGCTAATAGGCTAGTTGTTGTGGTAGCTGGGTTTAGCGAAATAGATGCACCACTCGCAGTCTGCTAAAGATGGCTATTGCTACTCTAGTAAGGCAGACTTAGCTGTATATCAGGCGTTGCGGGTGTCGTTGTCGCTGGGTAAGTGTGAGTAGACTCGTCGCGGTCGTCGTAATTGCCTTTGATGTTGACATTTCCAGAGTCGAGCATCATAGCAATTACTATTTGTACACCCTCTCTCTTTAAATCACTGGTTTTCCGCCCATGTATATTACCCCACCAGAATTTTAGTTGATCCAGCTGTCTTTTGACATCTCGTCAAAGGTCACTGACTATCGTATACGCAGATAGCAGTTTCAGTTTCTAGATAGCCACCCCTGCTCGCGTAGACAATACATCTGTATTATGTTTAGATCACATCTTCTCTAGCGGGATTAAGACATACCTTCTGTGGACTTCGCTTCCTGCGGTGCATGGTCAGTGCGGATTGGCATGCGCCGACCATTTTTGGTTTAACTATCCATTATTCGTGGATAAAGAGTGAGTAGTTTCTAACGAGGGAACTTTGTGTAGAGGGGTGATAGGGTAATGTTGTTGATAAACATGATGTCACATGAAAGCAAATATAGCAAGCACGATGTAGGAAGAACCAAAAACGCCTTAGCATTCTTCCCTCAGCTTATTTTAATGCGATCATTCCCTAGTGCGCGTGTACGCCCCGTCCTCGATTCGCTCGAGCGACGGCATGTTGTTCTGGTGTAGTTGTATGCTAGTCAGGTTCACGAGCGTAGTGTAAGATAGTTAATGAAACGTGGTGAGAGAGCGAGTAGTTATTAGATAGCAGACAATGTGAAGAATATATAAGTGTGGCGAAGCAGCCTCTTACCTGTCTACAGTGATTGACAGATCTGTGTGATGAAACTAGCCTCTAGTTTAGGCAAGGTCCTAGCATGCGAGAAAGAAAAGTGTTTGCTTAGATTAGGTTAAACAGAAACTCTTTCACGATAGAACAGCTAGCTCTAACATCTGCGCAATGGCCTTGCGTATCAGACACGAGTTCTCTTGACGCATATAACCTACTTCTAACATCTGCACAACGGCCACAAGTATTGCAGTTCTTTTCTAATTCGTCAGATCAACCACGTTCGTGTTCCCAGCCAGCTCCGACATCCGCACAGCGACCGCGCGCGTCTGATGAGATGTCGTCGTCAAGCGGACAGAGCCCAGCATCTTCACCCGCTGTTCATCCAGCCCCTATCATCCTACTCTCCACTTTATCAAGTCAGCTAGTTACAACATATGCTCTAGAGCCGCCGCGCGAATTAAGCCTGTTCCCGTCCTCGTCAGTTAACCCACAAACGCCATACGATGCTAACAAGCTAAACTAACTAACAACGGCATCCAATAACCCTACATCTAATAGTCTACATAAGAACTTGTCCTAATACTATTTTCTAAAGCGCAGCAGCGCGCAACATGATATCTAAGCTACGTCACCACTACGCATGCCGCTATCTACGCCCGTCGCCGTGTCTAACTATAGATTAAGCTTTAGTATACCTGCATCGCTACTTAGAGCTATAGATAAACATAATAAGAACGTAGATAGTTAAGACAGAAACAAGAATGCGAGCTATAGCTTAGAAACGATACGTTGAAGTTGGGGCACATTGATTGACGAGACAATGAGCAATGACAATGGTGTGGTAGAGCAGGACTAGTACAGTGCTAGAATAGAGGAGGAAGAGCAACTATTTGCATTTACACAAGACCCGTCGCCGTCGGAATACAAGCTAAGCTTAAGTTAAGATAGGTCTCATTCGTCTGATAAAGAAGAAGTTGTGGCAACAGCACTTTTAGGTGACAGCATGCCTAGTAAGTTAGAGGCTTTATTAACTCTAAATATACCTACAAATTGCAAACGAAGACGGTTAGAGCGTATAAAGAGGATGCGGCGCATCTGATATACCTTAATACAACTCTAAAAACGACTTTGTAACTTAGCAGTATGACCAAATGAACTTTGTATTTGCATGCCTACACACATTCCTGCCTCCACGCCTGCACATCCATGCCTCCACACCTACACATCCATGCCTCCACGCCAACATATCCATGCCTCCATGCCTACACACATTCCTGCCTCCACGCCTACACATTCCTGCCTCCACGCCTACACACATCCATGCCTCCACACCTACACATCCATGCCTCCACGCCAACATATCCATGCCTACACGCCTGTACATTTCTATCATCTTGGTATATATTCTATCAAACTAGTCCAATTTTGGAATGGTGTTTCCCGCACCCGCGGTGCCTTCGCAGACCGCACCTTCTCCCACCTATTTATTGTCTGTCTTTGTCCACACTTCGCGTGTCCACCAGCTACGTATATAATTGTTATTCAAAATTGCACCCCTCTGCCTTGTTGTCGCACTTAACGCCCGTAAACTGCGCCGCACGTTCTGAAGTCTTAGACACAACGTCCACGCTTTCGTCCACCCGCTGTTATACACAACCACCCTGCTTGTTAGGGTATCGCCCACGTATCGCATTCGCCACCTACACCTGTTGCCTGGCAGCGGCTCGCAGGCGTTGGAGTATTGCTTAAATAAGAATAGACCGCTTGCTTCTGTGTCGCGTCATAGGACAAGAATGTCTTAACAACAGAGCATTACTGGAGACGAAGATGCCTTTAAGCTAGCGCTTGGAGAGTTATAGTACTTTAGCGCCAATGCTATCTCTGTAGAACTTGTGCGAAAGCGCGTCCGCGATAGTTAGTATCTAGCAGCGAAGCTTACTAGCGGACCGCTTAAGACATTCTGCAACAAGGTTATCTGAGAGCTTAAGGCATTAGATACCTAGCTAGAGCCAGACTAATTGCCAAGTTCAGTGTCGCATACCAACGTAGGTCCAGATGATTGTTAACCTACGCCATTTGTTTTAAGACCATGCGCAGTACCTAGAGAAACAACCACGCCTAATTACTCTACGTGGGAGTGGATGTTCAGATGGGTATGCGAAAGCCACCAACAAATCTGTAACAATTCTAACTATCTGTAGGAGTAGATGCACGATGTCCGAATTAGTATGCCGTTCCTCGGCTCTAGGCTCGAATTGCATCAGTTGAGATTAGAGAAACTTAGGCTTCCACTAGATTGGCGTTACAGTGGAATGCCTGCGCCAGGGCAAGAGTTCGCATACATAGACCACGTTCAACAAGAGCAGGAAGCGATGGCATCGTTTGGGTCGTATGCTTCACCGTGGAGCGACACCAGAGCCTCTTCTATTGCAGACATGTCCAGGCTGCTCTATTATACTTCAAAAGTCCCGCATCTAGACATGAGAAAGTCAAACGCAGATCTCTTTCGTTCTCAACAGCGTATGCTTGTTGTACACCTGATCGCCTATTTTATTTATACATTCTCTAATACTGTAATTATAAACCACTTAATTATTAGTATTTGTATTAACAGTGATACAGATTCAATCAGCTACGCCACTTCGAATATTCGATGAGGGCTATCGTAGTCAGCCTTCAACAGCACCCAATCATTTTGCGCTTTTTATTCATTTCAAGAACGACAGTCGCACTCTAATACCAATAGCACTCTAGGTGACTGGGTTAAAGAATAATGCGGTCGCGCTCTATAACAACAAGTTCAACTAGAACTTCTTAAGTGCATTCCAAAACATCACGTCCTTTTTTACAGATGCCTGTTAGCTAATGCTTAGTATAGCTAACATTATATTTCAAGGCAGCAGAACAAGAGACAACAACTGTTTAGTATAGCAACCAAGGATCTTCGAAGATGTGTAGTATTTCGCCCCCGCCTCAGACCAGGTCCAAATACTACCACAAACAACCATGCATTTTCTCGAGCCATATATAGGATGGAAGAGATACACTAATATTAAGAAGCTTCTGCAAACTCTAGCATTAGCATCTCGGCTTGTACTCATCCACAAGGCACCTTCAATGCCATTTGGGTTACTAGCGATAACTAACATCACACTAACTGACGTCGCCTGCTACCCTCCAACCATCGACACTAAGACAACTTCGCTGCTTCCATTCGACGAGACAGAGAGTCAACTCGATGTTAGCGATATCAATAACGCAGCGGCTAACAGCGACTATACATCGTATCCTGTCGACGATCGACCGTCCTGTGCAGCGTACTTCAGATGCACGTCACCCCTAACCACAAATTCAACTCTTTGTTAGATCCATTGGGAGAGATATATGTCGCTTAAGCCATCCTGAAGACCTTCGGCTCCAAACATTGTTCAAGGGTTTCATCTTCCAACAGATCCATCCATTGTAGCACAACTCAAAGCACTTATCTAGTTAACTGAGAATCCAACTCATCTCTGGCTTGTCAACACTAAGTTCTGTCCTAACAAGGGAACAAAGGCTTCAATTTTCTAGGTCTGTGTTAAGCAGTATTAGTGTAACAACCAAATCATCAACACGAATATCCACTACAAGGGATTCAATCTCGCCGCTTGCGATAGTTTATTACACCCTCATTTTTGTTCAACATTTTAACGAATCTATGGACTATTAGACTACACAAATAGCATCACGCTCTCACAGCTTGGGGAGCTAATTTGCATGAATGGTTTTGACTACAATAAGTCTGCAATTCTATCTTAGTTCACAAGTATTAATACAAATGCTATTTTTCGTGTGTTACAAGGATTCAATTCTATATTTAAGCCAAAAGAGGATGTTACAATGCCTAAGAGTTGTTCGTTAGTAACAGGATTTTAGCTAATCAATGTTGGTCATCTTGTTCGCTGTATGATACAACTCCAGTCATACACTCTGCGCCACGTACATCGCATGTTATGTCCAAAGACAGCGCTGGTTGACTATTATCTTGCGAAGACGGACACGTTAGCATTAGAGGAAATTATATCTGTAGTTATGAAAGAAGGGAAAGCATTGCTAAAGCAGTAAAGGGACTTTACATAAGACATATTGCTTTAAGAAGAGTGTATGTAATACGCAGGCTACCTATTTATTAAGTACATTAAACTATGTCGCTTTCCTTAATGCGGTTGCGTGAAATCATTTAAACGTTTTGCTCCCCTGCAAGTTTTGGTATCGCTTGGAGCCTATCTAACCACTTCTTCCTCTGCCTTCTTGATCTTGCTATATCCTCGACAGAAAGTCCCTCAATGACTGGCCTGTACATGAAGCATCGACGTGTTTGTGTCGCTCTGTGCATCTGCTTAGCAATGCGCACTTCTTTTGACGGAAACAGAGCTGGTTTAAGGAAAATCATGTGGTTTGCGCATGTTAGATCAATGTTTGGTGCGACTGCATCCAAAACCGCGACCAAGATGCGAGGGTTGCTGTTGTGGGTTAGTTCCTTGCTGCTGTCATTGCCAGTCATGAGACTGTCCCTAAATTCCTGGTGCTTAGAATCCTTTGCTCGATGTTAGAACTTCCTAATGTTTTCTTCTTGTATTCTTGCATTCATGTTTAAATTATAACTAGTGATGCTCGCACTTCCATGGAGCCATTGCAATGTAGCTGTGACCACTAACCGGACAAACGTATCTTGCACGACTACTACCATCTTTTCAAGTTGACATTCTCCTTTGCAATCAACCACGGTGGGTGCGGCATTATTCGTAGTTTGAAGATCTCGCATGATTTGGACGTCCCTGGCCATGATCCCCTCAATGACAATCCTCAGCCATTGCATCTTCGGGTCATCTATAGTTGTTTGCACCACCCTTTTAAAGAGGGCATCCTCAGGCCCAAATTCATGCATCTCTAGAGCCTTACTTGATAGGTCGTAATATAGAGATAGTGAATCAATGTCCTTGTCTTAGTGCGATAGCATCTCCACCCTTTTCCATTTCTTAAACTCGTCGTTCTTAATAAGTTTGATCAGTAATAGCAGAGTTGCTATGATTTGACATGTTTCATACATTCAAACAAAAGTAGACTTCGGGATAAGTGAGTTGATATCCTTATTAGGGGTGTCTTGATCAACTATAGATTTAAGTGCTTGCTGAATGGTGTTGAAGTCGTAGTTGCATATTTCCAAGCATGCATCTTCATACTTCAAACGTTCTCCTGAGAGGATAGGGTTCAGAAGTGGCTTAATCTGTCGATTCTGATCATTGTCTAGGAAGAGGGTTGTGTCGTGATACCGCCTGATAGTGATGGCAAACAAGAGCTGTCTGAGCTTTGTTAGGTATTGTCGACGACCGTCCTTATCCAAAAACTCTGCTTGCACCACACTTGTAGCGTTTGTCTTGCTCAATAGTCCGCGTATTTTATTGAGGATGTTATCTTGCATTGGTGCCTAACAAGCATGTTTTTCATACTTGATCTTTTGCTTGAACTGTGTGCGTATAAGCTCAAGATATGGCGCGAATTCTTCACAAGTTAACCACCAGAGACTGTGTAGGATGTATACGTTCCAAGGCTCGTCCGTATATGCATACATATCTGGTGGACTGGAATCTTTATCTTCATTGTCAACAAAGATAGGCGATGTTTTGGTGTTGCTATAGTTCATACGTGCTATCTTGTGTAGGAATACTGCTTAATAACCGCCTATTTGCTTACGTGATGTTTTGTTGCACTAAAGCATAGACGTTGTTTTAAAGTCTATTGTCCTTAGCTCGTAGTACTCAAGAAAAACATGGCACTAGGAAACTGCTATATTTGTAGTTTTTCCAACGGCCCATTCTTTCTTTAAGTTAGTGTGAATAGGCGGGCACTTGCCTAACTCAGACAGGATATGTGACGGCGGTAGGAACTCATTATTATTATTATTATTGTTCCATTAGAGTCTAGTGAGCTCGAGGCTATGTAAGACTTTGGCCGAGGCCGTTCTAACTAGATTTATTTACAAATACGAGTTTGTGCTTGAAGTGTGTCTGTGGTGCTTCGGCCTTTGTCTAGGTAAGCGATAGCTATCGCTTACTAGACGCCTAGTGCTAAAGAGCATTTTGATAACAGAAAGAGATGTTAGAAAGCAAAGCAATCCTCCAGCGGGCTCTTTTAGGGATAAAAAGAAAAAGTTTCGACTTAGGTAGTTTTAATGAGTAACTCTCTCGTTCATTTTTAATGAGTCTTCATCTCAAGTTTTAGTGAGTAACTCTCTCGTTTCGACTTAGTGCCCAGCGAGTAGCAGCTGTCTTGGCGTTTCGACTTGGTGCTTCTACAGAGGTAACCAGTCTCTGTATCAGCGTTTGGATTTGGTGCCACAGTAGGCGAAGACTGTCTTGGCGTTTCGACTTATTTTGCTATTACAGACCAGAAAACTGTTATAGCGTTTTTGAATTTTGTGCCACAGTAGGCAAAGACTGTCCTGGCGGTTAGATATGGTGCCACAGCGGGATTAGGCTGTCTCGGCGTTTAGATATAGGATTTTTGATTTTTGTTATTTTATTTGGTGTTTTTAATTGTTTTTGGTTTCGTTTAGTAGTCTCCCTATTAGTCATCAGGGCGGTCTGTGCGTTCTCGAAGATTTTCGCATTTCGAACACGTCGCAAGAATACCGA